ATAGAATCCTGTAAACATATTTTCTTGATCTGAATATTACAAATTTTGTTTATGAAATTCAATTGATTTAGTAAAATTACCTGCATTATAATAATTAAAGCCTACTCTATTAGTACCTAATGCCATTCCTATTTTATCTTCCATTAACTTAGCACAAGCAACAAATTTCTTATAAAATCTCACTGCTTCATTATGATTTTTACTACTCTCATAAACCATTCCTAAATAAAATGATAAATGAGCTTCTTTTTAAATATCACCTGCTTACATACCAGCCTTGGCTCTTACAAGTAAATCTTTAATACTAGTTCTATTATTTTCTTTAACATTATGTGTATAAGGTATTGATGGAGCATAACCATTTCCAGGTGTTAATGGAGATGCAATACTAGCATTAGGTAAATCTGGTGGTTAAACAGATATCTATTAATCAAAGAATTAAAAGTTAGTTTCAGGTTGAACAGGTAAATCCATTTAAGCTACTTTATCAATTTCTTTTTTTAAATCTATATTATCTATTGGAGCTGTTGATTTCATTAATTATTCATTTAGCAATGAACCTAATAAATTTTTTACTGGTTTATCCTCATCATCTTTAATATTAAGAATTTTGTCATATTATTTTGCTTATCCTTTATGGAAGAGTGCTTCAAAATCCTTTTCTTTTTCTTTCAACTCTTATAATGCATCTGCTTTAGGTTATACAAAAATGTCTTTATACATTTACATATCGTTCTCTTATCTTCTTAGCGGTTTCTTTTTATATTCTTTTGGCTATATAATAACTCTCTATTATTTATACTTATAGAACTCTCTATTAACTAGGCTAAACACTTTTCAATTGATTTGGTTGAGTAGAGAAAGCATCTTCGATTTTCGTTTAAAATTCACTAAGAATTTCTTATGCTTTATATCTATATCAATAATGAAACTAATTCAATTACGTTATAGGTTATAATCGCTCTGCTACAACAAATCTTGAAGGTTGATAGTTTTTAGATGAAAATTTCTCATTTGAAAATTACTTCTTCATTTTGTTTTTGATTAATTTCTTAGTTGGAGGTGATTTTGATTTATCACTCATTTAATATTATATAATATATAAATAATAAATTAGATAATTTTCATATATTTATTAATATTAGAAAGCTATAAGTTTACTTTTTATATTTTTTACTATTAAACTATTTTTTAGGTTAATAAATGAACTTTTTTATTTGAAATCATTTGTTAATTATTTTAGATAATATTTTATCATTCTTGAATCAATAATTATAAATTCAAAATCAGAAATAATATTTATTACATTAATTAATGAGGATTTGGCAAATCTGTAAACAAATGTTTCACAACTTAAAAATGAGAGATTAGATTTTTTTGGTTAAGATTTTTGCTTTTTCTATTAGTTTCTTATTGATTGGCTCATTTTATATAGTTTAGAAAAATGTAATAATTGGAATATATGAAAATTCATCATCAATTGTTCTGCAACGCTAAGATAGAGTGGCACTTAAGTTATTTCTTCCATAACTAAATTAGTATCTTATATCCAAATAACATCAAAGTAATTACTCTAATATCATTTTAGGAATATAACTTTTAACAAGTTTAGGAACACTTTACTAATAACTGGATAATTTCCATATAACAGAATAATTTGAAGATCCTCTTAAGTGTTAAACCTAGTAAGAGAAGAGTTTTTTATTTTAGATCCCAGAAATTTGCTTTACATGTTATCTTTGTAAAGATGGCAATAAATTACCATCAATGGAAAAATATCAAACTTTATCAAAATTTTCCAGATTAATATCTGAATATATCTTATTATTTGATACATAATAAAATAACAGAATCTTTTATGTAGCAACTGGAGATATTTAAACTGGATTTATATTTCCTTAAATAATTTATGATTGGTCATACTCTCCTCAATCTAAAAATTGGTTTGTTAACCATTTGGATAGATACTAAAAGGATATAAATTAGAAATATTTTTACTCGTAACTCTACTTTTCTGGCACTCAATTTATCTACAAATAAACCATATCTTATTCTTTAGAAAATTAATATACAAAAAACTTAGATGCAATAGCAGGTACTGATATTGATGCTGAAGATCCTGATATGAAATTAATTTAAGCTAATACTTATTTGTTGAATTAATAAGGTTAAATCATTTATAGAAATGTCAATCTAAATCTCTCAGTAACTGAATTGAATTTTATTTATGAAGAAAATAAAACTGGATTCAATAAAACTGATTGGATTGAAATTTTAAATTTAGCTAATAATTATCCAAGCATTTCGAATTGCTAATAGGATGATAATTAAATTTTATGTAGATATAATTCAATTTACAAAAAACCAATTAAGATAGTAGCTAATTAGATTCCAGGAAATTTCACATTAATGATGTAAATTTATTAAATTATTATTAGGTTTACTAATGCGAGCTTTGAATAATTATTATAATAAAATTTCCTTTCACTCGAACTCATGGTTTAATAACTAAATGAAAGAGCTTTTTATACTTAAATTATTACATCTTGTTCTTTAATTTCAATTTCAATGATTATTGTTATTTTCATGTTTCGTCCTATTCTTAGAGTAATGATCGCAGCAAAAATATATATTAAAAAAATGGGAAATAATTTGGATAAAGAAATATTTAAGTTGATGAATTCTAAAAAAAATGCAAAAAGTTTTTTCAATAAACTAGAAGTTCAAATTGTAAACTTCAGTGATATCTTATATAGAAATCAATAATAAAAAGGAAAAATTTGTAAATAAATCGAAGAATATTAATATTTAAAAAAAGCAATCTAACCTATTCAAATAGAATTATTATCTGAATATGCTAAAACCGAATTAACCAATTAGATATCTATTTCAACTCATAATTTACATTAAATGGTTTCTCAATTATTAAAATAATTTAATTAATATAATCATATTGTCTAAAAATAATGAAATGACTAAATGAATTTTCAATATTCATAAAAATTTTAATTTATCAACTTATATGTAAATTAAATTAAGCTTATGATTGATTTTTAACAAAAAATATTTAAACAATTTCAGAAATAGTTCTAAAGAACTCATATACAAAATATATCTAAAATTGTAGCTTAATTAATTTAATAAATATGCTTTTCTATTGATGTTTACTCTTATATAAATAATCGATATATTTATAAATGATTAGTTTGAATTTTTATTAATATTATAAAATTAAATGAAGAAAGACAGGCAAAATTATTATTTTATAGTTGTGAATAAGACAGGAGGTTTATAATTCTTTTCTCAACTAAAAGAGTAGTATAGAGAAGAATAAGATAAGATAACTACAAATTAAGTTTTATAAGCTTCTTCAATATTTTATGCAATTGATCATCTTACTTAAACAATAATTCCAGAAGCAATATAAAAGATAGAATAAGAGAAGGATAAGGATTTTGAAAGAGATAATGCAATAGATTTATTAATAACTGAGAATTATATGGTTTCAACATTGAAAACTTTGACAGGATTACGTTTTTTGGTTATTTCAAGTAAAAGATGATCTAAAGTATTAGATAAAAATTTGGAAGTACCGAAAAAGCATGAAGACAATGTTTAAAAGATGAGACAGATTTATAGATTGTATACAGATTATTTTTCAAAAGACCCATTTCAATCAGATGATTAACCATTAGGAGAAAAAAAAAGAGTGTAATTTGATAGGGATGTTAGGGAATTATTAGATTTTTGAATAATTTAATGATATGTAAATTTAATTTATCGAAATTATTCATAATTGGTTTCGATACATGTTTCATTTGATGATGTTGTCAAATTTGTTTAGCAAGTTTATAAAAATTCTAAAAATTTAGGAATGAATCAATCTTAGAGTTTGTAAAAATATTAAGATATATCATGAATTGCAAAATCTTGATCAAGATCTTTATTTTTATATGATCTCTACTTATTTTTTTTAAAATAATAAGGTGGTTTTTCTTTGAAAATTTTAATCATTTAGATTTGTTCTTCCTAAGTAAATGATTAATTTAATAGTCTTTATTGTTAGTTAATATTAATTTTACGTAATGTTCCACATAGCAATTAATCAAATTTTTGATTCCAATTCTTAAAATATGGATCCTTTTGTTTACAATCAAGAGGGGAAAATTAGTTGAAAGCATACTAATTACTTTTTAGACTTTAAAGTATAACAGGTAATGCTGTAAAATGTTCTTAAAAGGATTAATTATTTCTGGTTGAAGTTAAGTATTGAGGTTTAGTCATTTTCTTAGAAGGTTAAATTTAAATTGGATTGTTAATTGTATGTTATTAAGCAAGAGATGCATTTCTAGGTTTGTAACGTTTTGCAAAAGAAACATATGCACTATTAATGTTTTCATTTTGTATTTTTTATAGATCATTCATATTAAATATATAATTTCAAAAACCCCTTCTAAAAATTTTAGATGAAATTTGTATAACAATTCGTTTCTTTTTAAATAAGATTGGGCTATTCTAGATTTAAAAATAATTTCAAGTAAAACTCAATTTGAAAGATTTTAATTTCTAATGAAAAAAGAGAAATAGAGTGCTATAGATTTAACTGAAAAATTGAGAATGGAATATAGATAGACAAAATATAATTATTTTTGAAATATAATATATAATTGAGAGTAAATCAGATTCAAGTTTATTTGTATAATAAAGACAACAATATAATTTATAAACAGTTTATAATTAATAATGAATTTCCATCACCTATGAGGAAGAGGGGCAAAACTCTAAATAAAGGTTTAGATGCACCTCATTTTAGGATGATTATTATTGTTCATTAATAGACTGGAGTCCAACTAATTAATTAGAAAAGGGTTTAAATAATTCACTTTGTACATGATGAACTCAAAACTATCCAGACTATTTAATAATTCAAGATAAGAATTTATCAGATTTAAATACATCTGATTTATGTTATGGAAACGATTTGATTACAGAAATGATAATAATTTTGAAACTGTTAGAATTTATGAATATTTACAAAGGAACAATATTAAGAGAAATATAATCAAAGTAGGGATTGTTTGGATTGGAATGAATTAAAAATTTTTTGTGATAGTATCAGAACTGAAAAAGATTTTAAAATCAAATTCTCTTTTGATAAACAAAAAAGTTTGTATTATAAATCATATTAGAAGTTCTAATATAACAATATATATTTTTTTAAATATGATAAATAGCTTAAATTTTAGAATTTTTTCTAAAATTTAGAATAGTATTAACTCAAGGAATTAAATTTGCTGTTAAAAGTTGTTTATATTTAATAATTAGATATTCTTTTATCAAAACATCATCTGTATAATATTGGTTAAAATTGATAAAATTTTTAAATCATTGTAAGTGCACTTATATATCTCTTAGTGCAAATTGAGAAAAATGTTTTAATGAAAATAAAGAATAAACTCTAAGTTTTTGAAAACTTTAGACTTAAAAAAATCAAAATTAAATTTCTTCTCAAATTTAAATCTTGAAATAAATCAATTAGTTGATCATAATTAATAAACTTATAGTTTTAATTATTTCTACTATATACTGCATAATTCTAATATGTAATATACATTTTTCCATATAATATACAAATTAAACATTAAAAATCAAATTTTTAATTTATAATTAATTAAGAATTTATGAATTTGCTAATTTTATCATATTTAGGCTATATAATCTTGGCCCTAATAGCCTATTTAGTGATTGCTCCAATTCCAAAGCTCTTATACTTTAAGATTAAATACGGATCAGCTGTTGATATTTATTATTTTCCTTTCATTGGATTAATAGGACAAATTGTTATAGATTTGATATTTAGACAAGATGCTTTCTATTCCTAAAAAAGATATGCTATAAAGAATAAGAAACTTAAATTACACATATCAAATGATTTAAAAGGTGGAGTTCACTTCTCCTTGGTTGATCCTAAACTAAAGAAGTTAGTCTTTTTTGATTAAGAATCTTATAAAAAGATGGAAGGCATGCCTTTTGCTGATACATTTATAGATTAGGGATTACTTTTCTAAAATGGAAAGAGTTGGCATAATTCAAGAACTATGTTGACTAAACATTTTACATATTAAGATTTATTAGCAATGGTAGAAACATTAAAATAAGAGTGCAAAAAACTTGAATTAAAAGATGGTCCAATTGATATTCTTGCCTTATTAAAATAATTGACTAGTACAACTATTACAAAAGCCTTTTTTGGAAGTGATAATAATACTATATCAGATTTGGGTGTTGAAGTCAACAAGAATATGGAAAAGATGATGTTATTCTTTTTAAATCCATTAATAGTTTTGAGATGTTTTGCATTAAAACTAAATAAAACAACTACTCCTTCATTTTTATTATCATCAAGTGAAAAAGCATTTCTTAGAGAATTGTAAGCTTAAAAATAAAGAATTACTGCTGAAATAGATGGTGGAATAAAAAAAATTAAAGAAAATTAACCTCTTTAAGATAATATATTAAACACTATGTGTAAAGAGATTGTGAATAATAATATAACGAAGGAAGAAGCTATACATTAGTATTTCACTTTGTTAATTGCAGGCATAGATTCTACAAGTCATGTTGTTAAAAACTTTTGTTATGCATTAGCCCTTTATCCAGAAGTATAAAATAGACTTAGAGAAGATATTGTTAAGAGTATACCATAATTTGATGGTTTAAAACCATCATAACTTGGTTAATTGAAAATGTTAGACAACTTTATTAATGAAGCTTATAGACATTTTACTGCAGTTCCTTCACTTTTCAATAGAGTTGCTCTTAAGGATGTTTAATTAGGAGAATTCACAATCTAAAAAGGATAGAGTATGGATTTAAATATGATGATGAGTCATTTTGATCCATCACTTTATGAAAACCCACTTAAATTTGATATTGATAGATGGAATTCCCCATTATTAGATCCATATTCATTCACACCATTTTCAGCTGGTCCTAGAAATTGTATTGGATAGCACTTAGCCACTTTAGAGATGAAAACCTTGCTTGTCTATTTGTTACTCAATTATAATCTAGAACTTAATAGTGGTAAGATTTAATTGGGTTTAGCAAATATGTATGGTCCAACAAGAACAGATTTCTTAGTATTGAAAAATATTAATAAATAATTATGAGTTCAAATCCTTATTTTTTGATTCTTCATCATTAATATGAATAAGCTCTCCAATTATTGGTTAGTGATGATTATGAAACGCTTGTCACCAAATCTTTAGCTCAATATTATCTTGGGAAATATGAGGATGCATTACTCACATTAGACAAAGCAATCTAACTCAGTTCTAATAGGTTTGAAGCCTATTATAGAAAAGGTACCATCTATTATGTATCTAGGATTGATCAACTTTATAAGTGGAAAGATCTAATAAGCATAATTAGATCTATAAAAAAGCTTTGAACTCAATCCAAAACATAAGGAAACATAATAATAACTTTTGAAATGTGAACTAGAACTTAAGAATACTAAACTTATCTAAACAGCTTAAGAAAAGTAAACTAAAATATTATTTCTAGAATAATCTAATAATTAAAAGAAGTTCCATAGAATGTAGAAGCCTAAAGAACTGATATTTATTCAGCCTCAGGAAAATTAATGTATAAATGGTATCAAACAGATTTAAAAGTTGGAATCGAAATACACCATGCGTTACCAAATAGTGGTGATTTAAAATATTAGTTTGAAAAAGAAAAGTATTGAATAAAACAAAAATTTAGATTATAATTATCATTTCCAATTGAAAAGGGAAATAACTTTGAACTTGATTTAGATTTATTTGCTGAAATTATTCCAGAAACTAGTAAAGCTAAAGTTGGATTAAATTCAATCGAAATTATAATGGATAAAAAAGATAAAACATTGAATTGGAGTAACTTATAGAAAAAAGTTGAAGAATAATAATAAATTCCAGTATTGGAATAAGCATCATACCCTACTTCATCAAAAAAAAAGAAAGATTGGAGTAAAATAGACAAAGAAATCGAAGAAGACATTAATAAGCATAAGGAAGAATATGGTGAAGATCCCTTAAATAGTTTATTTAAATAAATTTATTAAAATGGAGATGAGAATACAAGAAGAGCAATGATAAAATCAATGTAAACTTCTGGAGGAACAGTATTGTAATAAAATGATTATAATTTTATATAGATCAACTAATTGGGATGAAGTTAAAGCTAAAGATTATGAAAGAAAGGATAGACCCTCACCACCAAAAGGATAAGAATATAAAAAGTTAGGATGAGTTATTATTAATAAAAAATTATTTTAATATAATGAAAAAAAAATAAGTGGAACATCATACAATATTGACAACTATTCCTCCAGCACTCGATATTGGATTTACTGCTGTAACATCTGTATCTAATTTGGTATTCATGCTTGAAAATCCAAATGAGTATCCAGTGTAGTTTCATTTTGAATTTCAGAGATTTAAGATCACTCCAGATAGGTATTCAATAGTGCAAAATAAATTAGAGGATAATTAGCACCTGGAGCTAAAATCAATTTTACCCTGACCTATGCTCCTTTATAAGCAGAAGTGATTGTTGCATCAATTATCTTGCATATTTAATATGAATAACCAAGAGTTATTAAAGTATCAGGAATTGGCAAATATCCTTTTTTATAACTTAACACTAAAAAACTAAATTTTGAAACTCTATTGATAGGTAAAACAGTAACTAAAGAAATCACTATTAAGAATTCATCAGAAGTTACAGCACAATTCTAAATCACAAAAATGATTGATGATGAATTTAAAGATAATGCATTTACATTAGATTACTATTCTGGAGTCATTCCTCAAAAAAGCACATTTTTAATTAAAGTTACATATTAACCTCAAATTCTCAATGTTTCTGTTATAAGATTCAAAGTTATATGTTAAGGTGGAAATGAATTAACTTTTGAATGTGTTGGATCAGCTATTGAACATGCAGTTTATTTAAGTGAAAAATCAATTAATTTTGGTGAAATTAAAATAGGAAACCAAGCAACTAAATTATTAACTATTCATAATGATTCTGATCTTGGTACTTCATATTAATTTTATACTGATATGAATAACATTTTTAGTTTTAATAAAATAAGAGGTTTTATCTAAGGGAAAAGTTTTGATAGAATTATTGTCACTTTTACTCCTAGACATACAATTAATTACTATGAAAGAGTTTATTGTGTTGCAAGTAATTAAATTAAGTTTGTTGATTTAATTGGTACTTGTTATGATCTTTTGATAAAACCGATACCATTACTTTAATAGCATATTGACAATTTTAGAAGAAGAGTTATTTAAGGAAAGTTAAGTGAAGTAGATTTCAAATATATGGAAAATTCTTATTTAATGAAAATAAATTAATAAAATTAAAGTAACCTTTAAGGAGAATGGTTAGAAAATCCTAATTAAACAGTTTAATATAAAGAATTAATGCTTCCTCCATCTTCAGATTACAGATTGATTAAATTTTCTGAAGATTTTATAGATTTTGGTTATGTAGAATGTTATTAATAAAGTGGAGCTAGAGAATTAGAATTACATAATCGACTCAATTGTAAATTAACTGTATTTTGGACTATCTAAACTCATCCTACAATAAATGGAGAAAAAGTACCAGTATTTACAGTATCTCCAGAAACATAATCAGCTTAGGCAAATTCAAAATGCAAATTTTCAATTAGTTTTAGACCAACAAAATCTTCTTACTACTATTTTTAATATATACAATTTTTCGCAATTAAATATAATCCTAAACTTACCAAAAAGATATTAGATTCAGTTAAAAATAACAAAGGATCAATTTTGAACGAATCATTTGGGAACAATGCAAATTTAAAATTATCTTAAACTGGAATAACTAATCAAAAAAATCCTGTAGATTTTTAATCTAAAGAAATGATTCCTACATTTAGTGGATAAATTGGATGTGTTGGACATTCTTTTGGAATTAATTCTCAACCTTACATTCCTATAGTAGAACTTCGACCATCTAATAAATTATACTTTCCACCTTGTACAATAGAAGAGTCAGTTTATTAAACAGTTGAATTCATTAATAAATCAGATACTCCAATTTATTTTAATTTTAGCCCTGATCCAACAAGAACATTTAGAGTATATCCAAACTAAGGATTAATTTTTGGTAAGTCTTCGTAAATGATTATTGTTGAATTTGTACCAATTCAAAATAAAGCTTATAACCAAACACTGGTTTGCCATATGAATCATTAATCTTCTAACTAGATAACTCTCTAAGCTATAGGATATTGCTCAACTCCTTCGTTGAAATTATAAAATGATGGTAAAGTTTTCTTTCCACCATCTTTTGTTGGAGTTTATTCTAGATAAAAATTCACAGTTCATAATGAATCCAGAGTACCTATGAGTTATTCAATCGATGTTCCAGAGAAATACTAGAATGAATTATACATTGAACCTTCATCTGGATAGATTAAACCAAATGAAGTACTTCACTTAGATTGCCAATTCGTACCTTATAAAAGAGAGAAAGAATATAGAATAAAAGTACCAATGACTGCTACTGAAATATTGGCAGACAATTAAAATCTCATTGGATACCATATTCCAGGCTCAGGAAATCAAGAATTTCCTCTTGAGCAAAGAAAACCAATTGAATTATCATATTAATTCGAGATTTTTGGAAAAGGAACTGACGGAGACCTAAATCTTAATGTTAAATAAATCGATTTCAATATTATAAAAGTAAATTTCAATTCAAAATAATATGCAACCCTGATTAATAACTCAGATTGCACATTTTATATTGAATTAGTTCTTAGACCCAAAAGCAAGGATAAAGATAATGTTGATCATTAAATGATTAGTCTTATTAATAGATCATTTACTTTAGACCTATAAAATGGAATTATAGCAGCAAATTCTAAATTAGATATTGGAATTATGTTTAATCCAATTGAAGTATGTGAATTTGATTTAATTTTGGATGTAATAGCAACAGAAAAGAATCCAAAAGCACCAAAAGGTCCAAATTTTCAGAATCGTAAAATTGTATCATAGAAATGCAAGTTATAGATTAAGGCTAAAGGAAATTATCCTTTGTTGAAGATAGCAGATGTAAGGAACGATTCAATTAGTGTTGCTACTTTATGGGAAAACTTTTAAATCAATTTAATTAATACAGAATTAGCAAAAGATTTAAATGAAGATGAATAGAAATTTTTAAAAATTGAATAATTGACATTTGACTAAGCATAATAATTATAGAAGAGATTGAGAAGTTATGACTGGAATTTTGGATATTTACCATCTAAACCTTAAGTAAAATCTAGAAAAATAGTCATAACAATATAAAATATTGGTGGTACTGATTTAGAATGGTAATTTAAATTACCATCTGATCATTAAATTGAATTAGAACCTTGGGCTGATCCAGGAGAACCTACAGAGGAAGATACATTTGAAAAGGCAATATTAGAAAAGAATATATTTTAAATTAGACCTAAGGGTGGTGTTATCCCCCCAAAATGTTTTAAAGATATAGAATTAATCTATACACCTTGCAATTTAGATGAGGAACTAAAATCGAAAGGTATTTCAAATGAGAGCCATTTTCTAAGAGTTGTATTGTAAATTTTAAATGGCAAACCATTAGTTTTAAATTTAAAAGGAACAACATTAGCTCCATTAGAAGGTAGATTGGCAGTAAAGAAAAACTCATTTGAGTTACCAGACACCCCAGTAGGATTATTGTAACCTGTAAAATATCCTATAGAGATATAAAATGTAGGAAGTTCTAAAGTATCTTATAAAACACTAGTATAAGAGCTCGATATTGATGGAGAGATTATTGATTCTTAATTTAATGTATTTGATATTTAGAATCCATAAGGATCACTCTTACCAAATGAAAAATAGTATTTATATTGTCTTTTTAAACCTTTGGAATAAAAAATTTACTATTTTGAATTATTGGTTGAAGTATCAGATATGGTAAAAGTGATTTAACCAGTGAAATTAGCAATTCATGGAAGTGGATACGCTAATTAACCTAAAACTTAGATTTAAAAATAAACAATAGAGATTCCTAGATAGAGATCGCATTAATCTCCAATAGGATCAAAAGTATTCTTTTCTTTGGAAGAAATAGATTTTGGAGAATTATTACCATTAAAATCTGCTCATAGAATGATAATTTTATACAATTAATCGAATGATCGTAAATTTGCATTTGATTTTGGTGTTTCTTAATTCACACTTTCCAATAATAGACCAGGTCTATGTTGTGGAGATGAATTTTTGATAGAGCCTATCTAAGGAGAATTAGAAGCTTAATCTTTTATTGAATTAAAATTAACATTGACAGCCGCTTCAACTCCTTCAGTATATGAAGGTGAATGTGAATGTACAATAAGTTGGGAAAATAAAAATTAATAAGTCAATACTTCTTAAATAAGTTAAAATTCTCAAGTAATTACAGTAGATAAAGAGACTTTGTTTTTAAGAATAAAGAAAAAATCAAGTTTAAATGTGGAATTAGTAAACTCATTTAAATAACCACCTCCTCCAATTCATAATGCTATGGCTCATCCTTTTCAATAATTATTAGGTTAAATAATCACAGAAGTTCTCACTGATTCTCATACAGATTAAATACTTAAAGCATTAGATTAATAACCTATAACATTATATTAACCTGAGAAATAACCAAAAAATGGAGAATATATATAAACTGAAGATTTGTAATAAAAATTAATTAATAATAAATTAGATCAATCTAGAGAGATTATAAAGATTATAAGACGATGTTTTTAGAAGATGAATTCATAGAATTAACTGATTTGATAATGGAAAACACTTTCTTTAACATAATCTAAGAAACTACAAGAAGAGAATGTGATTTATTACGTATATCTAAGACTTTTGTTACACCTGCAAACAAGTGATTATTATATAATAATATATTATTTTAAATTTATGCGACAACTAACAGTTTTTAGATTTATTTATAGAAAGATAATAAGTATATCAGTTTTGAGTTGTTTCTTAATCTTATTAGGTTTATACCTTATCATTCCATCTAACTCTAATTCCATACTACCAAATTCCTTCTCTTTATTGTCCATCCTCTCTTATATAAATACCTTTTCCATGTTATTATCCATTTAACCATTCTCCTACATATTTTCTACCATTCCATTTATAAGTTCCAAAACCATGTCTCTTATCCTCTTTAAAATCTCCTATATATTCCCTATCATCTTCCCATTTCATAATTCCTTTACCCCATAATTATCCATGTTTAAAATCTCCTTCATAAGTTTTACCATCTGGCCATTTATACGTACCTTATCTCAGTTGGATATATATAAATACCTTTTCCACTTATTACTCCATTTTCAAATGTTCCAATATACTGACAACCATCTTTTGTAACTAGTTTTCCTTTACCATGTCTAGCTCCTTTATAAAATTCTCCTTCATAAAAAGATCCATCTAAATTATCTTTTCCAATTTTTACTTTAACATTATTCTTTTCCAAAACCATGTTATTTATCATTCATCCAATCTCCTTCATAATATGATCCATCTGTACTTACAAATTTACCAAATCCATTTGCCTTATCATCCATCCATGATCCTTCATATATATTCCCACTTATATTCACTAATTTCCCATGACCCTAAGCTTTATCATTCGCAAAATCTCCTATATAATAAGATCCTTTTTTCACTAAATTTATTACCATCTGGCCAAATTTATTTTCCTCTTCCATGTCTTACTCCATTCAATAATTCTCCTTCATATATAGCACCTGTTTCTAATCTCAAAATGTGTTTATCCTCCACTTATTATGACATTTATGCTGATAGATGATAATATTCATCACTAAGTGCTCCTTCTATCACTTCAATCTCTGAAACATTAACTATTATAGGTTTATCAACAGTTATTTTTGAACATAGCCCAGAACAACTTCCCATTTTAATTTGATATAAAAATGAAATAACAATCATAAATCATTTTATTATAAGTCTGATTGTACATAAATAGAAAAGAGAGCTTGCATTAAATAGAGATGTGGTATAGATAGGGAATATCTATTTAAAGCATGATATTTGGATATAATTATTAATAAAATAAAGATTTAAATATGCTGAGGTTAGTGAGTAAGAGGTCATTCTCCTCTACATTTAATGTGCTCGATACATTTAAGACTCTGAAAAGTGTGGTAATATAGTAAAATGTATGGAAAGATTACAGCCCCAATCAGACACATAAGGTCTTATGTACGATAAGATGGTGTTCACAGTTCGATGACACCAAATTTGACATATTAAGCTTTTGACGAAGTGCTTCATGAATATTATGCTGCCTATTCTGGAAATCCTTTTCATTTATAAGTCTACAATAACTTAGATAATATCTAAACTGTCAATTTTGGTACAGTTGATAACCCATGTGTGATTTTTACTGCTGATACTCCCTTTAGATATGTTGGATGCACTGGTTTGTAGAATGAAGATGATTACGAATAACATGAAATCCATCTTTTTATGTTAAGAGAAGGTCCCTTGTAGAGATGTCCAATGTGTGGTCAAGTTTTTAAATTGGTTAGACTTCGATAATAGGAAGATGAGGAAATGTCCTACTATAGAGATTCATTCCATCCTATTGATATTTTTGAATTGGATGTAATTTACTTAATTAATTTTAGAATGAAAATGTTTAATCTATTAATATGTTCAAAATGTGGACTCATAGAGAAGCTTCATTATTTGAAAGTGCTTTATATGAATAAAACATTATGGTAACAATGGATAACGATGTACATGATAGATTACTTGTTGATCCAGCTTATAGAATGTGGAGATTCTAACATGGTGAAGATAAATTAAAATACATTGATTAATAATTAAAATAAGCAGGTTACAATGAAGAAAGAGTATACAGAAATCCTAAATATAAATTACCTATGTAAAAGGCTACTTATGCAGCTGTTATTGAAGCAGAAAAAGTTTTAGCTATCTAAGAAAGATTAGAGAGAAAAGTTAATAGATTCCATGTGAGAGAATATCTTGACTTTGCTAATCATGCAAGAAGAGAAAGAAGAATGAGATTAAGATAAAAAGAAAGATGGGAAAACAATTATACTTATTTCTATGGAGGTCTTACTGAAGAAGAATAATTATATAATGATTACTTTGAAACTGATTAAGAATTATATAAAGATGATGAATAAGTTGAATAAAGAATTGATGAAGCTGTTGCTTAAGTTGATCCAAAATATAGTCCACTTAGATTTGATTTCTAAGAAGCTTATACTCATAATCCAGAAGAAGATTAGACTTCATTACTTGAAAAGAAATTATGGAGATTTAAATACAGATTAGCATTCGATTGCACTAAAGATTATTAAGTTAGAGAAAAAAGATTAATTGAAAGACATTTAGCAAGAATGACTAAAGATCCTGAATATATTGCAGTATTCAAAAATCTATAAACTGCTGTCAATTCTGAAAATGAATTTGCACTCTTAGAGGCTGAAAAAAATTATTACAATCTTGCAGCTAAAGAAGGATGTAATATTATTATATAATTTATTAAGTCCTTTAATATAAAGATTACTTTGAAGGAGATGCATCAGCTGAAATTGAATTAGTTGAGGAATTATATAATGCTTCACCTTTGGCATTCAGCAAAGTTTTTGTCAATCACTCTGCTAGATTATTCTAATAAGAAGGATTCTAGAAATTCCCTAAAAGAGCTTGGAATGATAGTCTTGGTTTAATTTAAAATTATGTATTGGATTTCTAAGACTTTTCATCTAATATTGTACCAAAAGCTTAAAAATTAGCTAATTATGCTGGTTTATAAAATGTATTTTAATCTTATCATTCTAGGTACTTCCTGCTGATGAATAAGAATTAGTAAAACTTGGTTTAGATAAAACTGAGCAAATTGCAAGATAAAAAATTGCATAAGCTCAAGAAAAACCATAATTAAATGAACAACCTAAACAAGCTTAATAATAACAAGCTCCTCCATAAGTTGAATAATAACAATAATAATAATAAAAACCTCAATAACAATAATAATAATAACAATAATAATAATAATAATAAAAGAAAGGACCTTTCAACAAAAAGAAGTGATAATTTAATTATTAAAATAAAACCAAAATATATTAAATATAATTATCTATTATATTTTTAATGATTTAATCTTATTAATTTAATTTTACTCTAATTGCATTTGCATTTATTCTCCTTTTATAAGAGATAAATCTTAAAAATTTATCTTTTAATTGTTTTCATTTGTTAAAATCTATTTATGCATAACCTGGGAATATCTTTTTGAAGTTTTCTAATATCTAAATTTTATTATATGTAAATCATTTCTTCATTTATTTTTTACAATTATTCTAATATTTGGTTTAAATTGACATACATTTAAGACTTAACAAATAACATAAATCCGAAGCATTGGAAAATTTCTTAGCGTTATTAAGTAATCATTAAATACTTTGAATTAAATTATTAAATGCTATATAAACTTAAAAATCACTTCCAAAATTCAAAATTATTAAAATAATAATTTACTGTGTTTAATAGTATTAATATCGGTATTAAGTATTATTTAATATGTTTTCAATAGATCTAATTAGCCTAATACTAAATAAATAACATTACAAAAACTACTTACTTTGCTTTATTTAACTTGATTTAAGCCACCGCTCAAATTTGTAGTAATATTGCTTTTCTAATCGTTGATTACAAAGAATGCTACTAAGGAGCCAGAGGAACAAACTTAAAATAACCTATTTAAAACAATAAATTCTTCCATGAAATTACTGTTAATGTAGTTAAATTCTGTTGCTGAATACATTTTACATTACAATTTATATATTATGTTAGCCCATTATGATCTAATAAATACTCAATTATGGCAACTCTCAAATTTATAATATTCAATTTATATAATTATAAATATAAAAATACTATGATTTATTATTATATTTATTTATAAACTCATATAAATTTCAAATACTAAATATTTTGTAAATTCTTTTAAAATTAATTTTTCAAACTTATATACCTTAAATCTTTTGAGATCTTTCAACTTATTAATTTTAATCATTTTGAAAATCTCCAATTTATAAAACAAGAAATTTAGATACTCACATAAACACTGATTTCAACAGCTTATTTATTTCTTATTATTTTTTAGTATGAATTAATTAATTTTAATTCTATTTAAAATAAAATTTAATAAAAAAGCAATTCTAAAATAAAATCATGAATCAAGTTTATCTAAAATTATGTTTATTAAATCATAATTTTCATCCGATATTTTCATTTATTATATAAACAAAATTGTTGATTCACAATCTTCATCATTAAATATTTTCATATTAACCTAATCTATTCCTATAAGTCTGTGTAAAATAGATAATATACTATATAAAAATTGGCTACCTTTTTCTTGGCTATAATCATTCAATTCCTGAGATATTTATTTAATTAATTTATAATCTCTGTTTAATTTTAATATATCTTCATCCTTTGAAAATTTGATGACTTAATGAAGAAATAAAAAGAAATCATCAATCTCTAATAATATTTAAGGGATATTTTGAATAATTGGTAGGATTTCCTCCCAAAATTCATTTAAAATTTGTGGATCATCGGTTATAAAATTGCTTAATATAATAAATCCTTTTTTCACTAAATATTTTAATTAACTTCCTGGAATATTTTCTAATTCCATAAATTTATTAATTGTTTTAATTATAGTCTGTGCCATTTATGTTTGAAAATTTAAAGTAATTTCATTATCTATAATAATGATATAAAGATTACCCAATAAAGATACATATTGAAAATATTTAAATATTTCTCCAGATAATTAAATATTATCAAATTCATCTTTCAAAAGATAATTTAAAAAACTTAAATCCAATTTAGATTTATCATAAGAGTAAATCCTATTCATTAACTTTAAAATCCATTGCTTTTCTTTAGCATCATAAAGTTATTTATAAAGATCTTAAAATATAGTATGCAAGCCTGTTAATTTTTATATATTAATTTCTGGTTTCATTCTATCTAAATTAATGATCATAGAATAAAAATCTTCAAAAAGGCATTTCTGTTTACATTAGAAAGTATGATGCCTTAAATTCAAGATATAATTTACCATAAATATTTAGGTATTTAGAGAAGTAAAATCAGATCTCTACATTGATAACAATCGCATGCTAAATTTGCAAATATATCTAAAATATACTATTATAATTCTGTATAATATGTTGAATTATAATAATCTGCAAGTATTTGTATATGTTCATGAATAGGTTGAACTTATTAATGATTTCCTGCTGAAATAGCTAATAAAATGTGTAAACAAGATTTCTAAAAAATGAGTAATATTTACATCTATTTAAGGATAACCAATATTAAAAATCTTAAATATTCTTTCTACATCCTTGAAGGTGTCATAGTTTGGTTCACAATCATATTCATTATAATAATTGCTAAGTTATTAAATTTTGAAAATGCAGTCTGATATAGTTTCATCAAATAATACATCTTCATTCATAAAGTTAATTGTCTCAATTTATTTATAACAATACCTATTGATTGCCTCTTTCAAATGCTTCTTAATATTATTATTGAAAAACAATATTATTGGAAGCAAATGGGATGAAATTATTTGACTTTTAAAATCTATTTTTTCTGAATGTTTCCTCTCTAGCTTTCCTTTTAAGTCCAACAATAAATTGTTCTCTTTTTTGAGCTATATTTTAGAGCATTTTAATAATTTTAAAATAAATTAAAGGAGAAATCGGAGCAAATCTTAAAATAATTTTGCTAATCAATTAATCATTCACCAAGGACAAATATCATCTAAACTCTACTTACATTCCATTTAAGAGTATAAACTTTACAGTTAATTTCGATTTACGATATGATTGAAACTAAGTATTTTTGCTTAATTTTGATTATTTACTATTTTTTTCAAACCTGGAGAAGTTCTTATTCTTTTATCAGTAGAGTATCTTGTTTGATTTATCTCTTTATAAGTTTAAGATTATGCGGAATTATTAATCAGACATCTAATTCGAAGATTATTAATTGATACAAATCTAATATCACTTTAATCTTTTTTTGGATTTGCTTCTTAATTTTCAAGATTTCGAGGTATTGACCATGGTTTAAAAGAAGAGGTTAATTATTACTTTTATAAAAGAATTTTATCTAAAAGATCAGCTTTAGACCTTTTAAATTGAAATTGTTTTTTTTCTTATAGTCTCATAAAATACTTTTTCTAAAATTATGGAGTTGAAGGTTTTCTTTATTTAAATTAGATTGGATTACTGTAATTACAATAATCATTTAGAGTTTGTAATGTATGGATTTGCATAATAATTAAATTTTATATATTTATAAATATAATATACTAAAAAAAATATCTAATTAATTTTAGTTAGATTGCAATATCATTTCAATATGAAATGAAATTAATAGTTTAATTGAACAAAAGATGTGATAATTAATATTAAGATTTTCTTTAGCTTGTATAACTAATCCTTTTTTTTTTATGTATGGACTTAAAATAGTATGTAGTATTATTATTTGCAAAATCATGACTCAGATATATATTAGATATTGATATTAAAACTATAATTTTTGAAATTATAAATTTCTTTCAGCTAACTATTAAATTTTGTGAAATCCCAATGTGATAAATTATATTTAAATATTAATGCTGAAGCATCTTTACGACACAGATTGTGTCACTTGGTCACCATAAGGCAAATTGTTTTAAGTAGAATATGCTATGGAAGCTGTAAAATAAGGAAGCATATGTTTGGGACTGAAATCAAGCGATTATGTTGTATTATGCAGTCTCAAAAGACAACCATCAGAATTGGCAGGATATTAAGAGAAATAATTCAAAATTGATGATCATATGGCTATTGCTATAGCTGGTTTAACAGCAGATGCACGTATTTAAAAAGATGTATAATTACAGGTGTTTTATGCAAATATATGAGAACAGAATGTTTAGAATACAAATATACATATGAATCACATCATCCAGTTGGAAGATTAGTCTTTAAAGTTGCAGAAAGTTAGATTTATATATTTAATTAAAGAGTCACAACATAAAACTTAAAGCGGTGCCAAAAGACCTTATGGTGTTGGATTACTTGTTGCAGGTATTGATCCAAATGGTGTTCATTTATTTGAAACATGTCCTTCTGGCAATTATTATGAATATAAATGCTAAGCTATTGGCTCAAGATCTTAAGCTGCTAGAACTTATTTTGAAAGTTGGTTCCATTTATTTGAAAAAAGTACTTTAGAATAGCTCGTTCTACATGGATTAAGTGCTATTAAGAAGGCTATTATGGAGGACGAAGAGTAAATTAAATATTCATTATTCTTTTAGATTAAATGAAAAAAATGTAGAAGTTGGAATTTTAGGTAAAAATTAAAAATTTTTACATTTAAATGCTTAAGAATTAAAGGATTACATTACAAAATTAGAAGCCTTTAATCCAAATTCTTAAATTTAACAAGAGTGATGATGATTTAATATTAAATATAGTAATATTTTTTATTCAAGTCTTTTCTTTAATATTATAATCAAAAAAAAAATAATATGATGAGATTGAATCTTTTCATTTAATTTCTATAAATAACTCAATCAATTATTTAATACATAACTTTGATTTTAGTTCAATTTTTTTAAACAAATTTTAAAAATTGGTGATTCATGCATTTAAAATTAAACTTCATTCTTTTTTATTGCATTATTAATTCAATAGAATAGGCATAATAATAAAAATATTTTAATTTCATGCTCACAAACATATTGAAGTATCACTTGAAATCTGTTTTAAGTAGTAGTAGTTATATAAAATTGGCAAAATATTTAGATAAACTAGATAAAAATCCAAAATGAATGATTTTATTAATAAAAAATATTAATTTAAAGAAAGCTATTTATCAAATGTAAGATATGATGAAATAAACAAATATTTTTATTTACAATTTTTCTCAGGTATATTGTAAATTTTAGATCAAGATAATTAACAATATAAGCAGCATTGGCATTCTATATTATTTGGATTTCTTCATAATTTTTCATTTGGTTTGTTTTTGATTATTTATTTGATATAAATTTACAATTATTATATTAATATTACCATGTTGAGTCTCAATAAATTGATTTACTTGAATCCTTAACCTTCTTATCATTCAAAAACTTTTGATGGCAATTAAAAATTAACTTTATTATTCATAAAAACAAAGCAAAATAAACATCAAATTCCTTGTTTATTCATCAAAGCAAATTCAGATGAATACCTTTTGTATTTTCATAGTAATGCAGAGGATATGTAAATCTAAAATGTAAATTTTAAAGAGGAACTTGCTATGAGTTTACATCTGCTTTGAGTAATGGATTGAATGTAAATGTAATTTGCATGGAATATCCAGGTTACGGAATTTACACTTAAGTTGAACCTTCCTAAAAATAAATTGAAAAAGATGCTGAAGATGTCTTTATTTATATTCATTTGGAATTAAGAGTTCCTGATTCTAAATTGACTATTTTTGGAAGATCAATTGGAACTGGCCCAGCTTGTTTTTTAGCATCAATTTATTAACCAAAAGCATTAATTTTATTAAGCCCATTCACATCTATAAAATCTGTTGCTAAAAAGCATTTTTATTTTGCTGCGAATTTGTTAAAAGTATGTAGAAATTAATAATCCCTTTTAGGATTAATTCAATAATGTATAAAGAGCAAATAAGATTACCTGCCCTTGCATCATCATTCATGGTAAACTAGATAAATTTATTCCAATATAAATGGCAGAAGATATATACAAAAGTTTAGCTTCTAAAAGAAAAACATTTTTTTATCCTGAAGATAAAGATCATAATAATTTCAATTTTTTATTTGACATAAAAGATTTTGTTTAGAACTTTATCAAAGAAATTGAATAGTTAAATCATATGTTTTTGCCTAATTGAAATATATAAGATCTCCTTCATTAGTTCATTTTTACTTTTTCATATAATAATATTTTTTTCTTTATTATGATTTTTCAATTAATTTTTATTGTAAATTTGAGTGAAATGTCTTAATTTATCTACATGTCAATAAGACTTTTAATTTTATAATTTTATTAATCTCAATCATCCTTGAATTTATTAAAGTTTTCTGAAGTCTAAAGAAATCAATCTCAAATAATATAAGAATTAATAATTATTCTTTTTTATGAATTCACATATTTACAAATATAAAATAGATATACTTTGAATAATTTTTATAAAATTAAAGTACAATAGATTTGATTGATTTATGATGTTGATTGAAATAAAAATATTATAATTAATATTATTTTTGATATTTTCAGAATTGTAATCCAATATCTTCTATTGGTAAGTGAGATACTGCTTATAAAGCCTTTTTTAATTCTCCTTTTGCTCTCATGGTTTCAACATATTATTTAATTGTATTCTAAAACCTTATATTATTTAACTTAAGATCAGGAATAATTGATATGAGCATATAAATCTAATATAAAATTTGAGTATTACTTCAACAACATTCTCAAGTTTATTTTATGATAAATTTGAGTTGATTGTAAATGAACAAAGATCAACAAAATCAAATGTGTTATTTCTTTGTTATAATTCATTTATGCATTAGCTTAAAATTTAAGCATTGGCATTTGTAATAACGTATAAACCTCTTAATACTCGAATAATTAGATTGTTGACTGAAATATTGTCAGGATTCACATGCCAAATAAAGAATAGCTTCATGATAAATCTAGGCTAAGCATATTAAATAGAAATGATTTAATTAGTTAAAGTATTAATCATTAGTTTTAATGTATATTCTATCAATTACTGTTTGTCATAATATTGTTCTAAAATTTGTAGAATTATCTAATAAAATAATTTGTCATTTTAGATTATATATAAAATCTATGAATAAGTACTTAGATTAGTCAACATACCTATTCCAACAGTCAGTAATCTATTGTCATTACTATTTTAATATATCAAACTAATAATGTGAGGTATTATTTAAGGTTAAATAAATTAATTTCCAACAATTCCAAAAAAAGAGAATAGTTCTTTGAAAATAAATTATCTTATTGATGGATGCAATTAGTCATACTTAGGTTATTGTATTTAATTGTTTTCAAGGAAATTACTAAAAACATTAACAATGCTTTCAATATGTAATGATTTATATTATTCATTATTTTCACAGATTTTCCTGATTATACCTATCATTAAAGCACATTCCTCATTAATAGTATTAATTTATTTATATAAATGATTGAAAAATTCAGCATATTTGAGTAATTCATCAATGACTTCAGGACAATCATATAATAATTTCCAAATTAAAGTTAAAGATGGAGCATCTAATGTAAGTTTTATTACTTATAATATTCCCTAACACCAAAAAAGTAATCTTTGATCATTATTAAAACACATATTGGCTATAATTAATTATACTAGATCCCTATTGATATTATTTCTAAAGAGTTATAGTAATTAATCTTAACTCTTTTTTATAGTCATGTATTCAGAATTCTTGCTGTTTTTTGTTACAATAACAAGGCAAGCTAATAGATCTTCTGTACAATTCACTCTAAGCATTCGAATTAAGGATCTTAAACATTTTGAATGTCTAATTTCATCTGAAATGTCTCTATCCCAACAAAGAATGCAAAAAATCTAACAGATCTATTTAGATATTTCATTAAATATTGGTGTTTTAAATATTTGACTACACTCGCTTAATGATACAAAATATATGCAAAGTGCTTTTGCAAAGGATAAGCTAAATGTATTCAAAAATAGATCAGTAAAGTTGATTCTCCAAATTTAAATTATAGGCTTCAATTGTAAGAAATCTAAATCCTATCTCAATAATAATTTGCAATACTTCTAATATCATTCCAAATACGATCTTTATTTGTTCTAAATTTTATTGATTGAAAACTCTTAAATATTGTTCAACTTAGTCAAGTAATTAATTAAATGATGACAAAGAAGTGTTGTAATCTTTATTACGTATTGGTAATCTAAGCTGTTAAATTAGTTAAATTGGAATGATGTGATTGTTATTCATTAAATAATAATTATAAACTTATAAATAATATATAATGAATCATTTTATTTATGAATTTAGATTATTAATTTACATAATCTAACTAAACGCTTATTCTTTATACAAGAAATATAATGTTTATCAACTATGTAAATTTAAATTAAATAAAAATTCTACAGAAAAATTATATAATTAATTAAACTATTTCATAAAATAATTCATTAATCATTCTTCTTATTGTTATTTCTAATCATCTAATTCATACTTTCTACTTAAAAATAATTTTGATTGTTTATATATATGATACGTATTTTAAATATCGATTCCTAGATTATTACAACAGTTATGGTCAACCATAAATTGATATAAATCTAAAGAATCTTCTTCATCCATTTCTGCACCAAAATATTTTTCAAATTATTCTCTAAAATGATGCTGCATATCTTTTTTTTCAATTTCAATAAGGAATTTCCCTACTTAACTAGGCTTTAACTCTTTTCTTAATTACTCTAAAGTTTAACCATACGAACTCAATTCTATCTATATTTAGTTTTTAATTTCTTAGAAAGATGATAAAGTGCTAAAAATAAATTTTAACACAACTTTGTAAGATCACTCTAAAATCTCAATAGCTTTTTATGTTTCTTTAAAATAATCTATTTTTATTTGTCTGTTAATTTCAAATTTCTTAATATCCCAGTTTCAGAATTGGTATTTTATCCTTAAAATATATCTTATTCTGTTTTTGCTGCCCCAATTATATAATTTAAATAAGGTGAAAGACAGTTTTCATAAATTTAATTAAAATAATGGTCTAATTATTGTTGCCTTTCAAATGATCCTGCTCCAAATTTTTTCTTTTTTAAATTATTTTTTTTACATTAAGTGATTCAACTATAGTATCTATATTCATTTCGCTTACATTATTTTAGACTGCATTTTATAAATTTGAGAATAAAATCATTTTGTTCTGATCTTACTCTTATTTCTAAATTATTATACAATATAACTTAGTTTATTTTATTTTACAAGTTTAATGCCAGATCAGCTGTAGAATCATTCACTTTTTAAAAACTCTCCAACTGTTCTTATAATATTGTAACTTTATTCTCTAAAAGTTCTAGGTAAATTTTCTTTCTCTTTCTGCTATTTCTTGCAGACTCTCTATTTTTTTTCAGTTTGTCTTCTTTATCAATATTAGATCCTAAGAGCTAATTTGCAGATTTTGCTTAAACTTACTTCCTTCCTTCTCTATTGTCATATATTATTTATTATACTTTTCTTCCACTTATTCTGAATTTGCTATCTTAATTAAAGATGAAATTTTATTGATGTAAGTATTCTTTGTGTTTCCTTTCTGTTTTTTCTTCATCTAGCCTTAAAATTTCTTATGGTCTTCATCTTCTTTATCATACTAGATATCACTAGAATTAGAATCTGATTCCAATGGATTAAAGTAATCATAATGATTCATTTATAATCAATATTTCTCAACAAATTTATATTAATTAATCCTTTCAAAACAATCAAATAAAAATCAATATTTCAGGTCATAAATTTCTCCTGGTAAACTGTTTATAAACTCTTTTTGAAACTAATATATAAAAAATTTACATGTTTTAGGGGATAACCTGAAATATTTTTAATAAAAGAGTCATTTCTTGAGAAATATAGAATGAGAAACAAATTAATTCTGAATTTGATAATCAGATTGATAAAAACTGTTGTATTCTATACAAATTAAATACTATAAATTTCTTAAGAATCATGTTAAACAAAAATATAGATAGAAATATAAATGTAAATATTTTGTATTTTGCAAATATAAATGGTAATAATATATAGACTGAAAATCAGAATTAGATCAGAATTAATAAAAGGGTATGCTTGATCATCAGAATTTATTGTTAAATATTAAAATAAATTAATTATTATAAAATAATAAATTATATATTTTAATAATAGATTAGTTCTTACCTGTTAATAAAGATAAATTAACTTACATATTATCCTGAATTCTTTTAAGTATAATTTATCATTTCAAGTTTATTTGATATGATTAATTACTTAGTCAACTAAATTAAATAGAGAAGTCTTAGTAGGTAATAATTATAAAATTTTTTAATTTTTGAATATTATATTTTTCAAAAACAGCATTTTGGATGGAAATTTAAAAATCCTTCTAAATATAATTAGCAGAAATTAGAAATACAGATTCATACTTGAGTAGGCAGAATTGTAATTATAATTTATAATTATTTGATTAATTTTAATTGCATAAATAAATTTATATAATGCAACAGAACACCTTTTCATAGAAAAATATTAAATCTTCAAAAAATAGTAAAAATCATCATTATTATGCTTACATACCTATTAAGGGAAATACTAATTTTTAAGAATAAGAAAAAATTAATTTATCCAATGAGTCTGCCATGTCATAAAAAACTATTTCAAATAATAGCTACACTGTCTAAATAAATGATGCATATTATAAGAAACCTTCGATTATTTTTAGAGAACTTAGAAGTATTTCAAATTAGAGTCAAAATAATACAATCAATGATATTCCTTAAGGTTTTATATTTCGAATAAAATCAAAGAATCACATATAGAATGAGCCTCTTATAGCAGAAAGTTTTGAATAAAAAGAAAAGGATAGAAAAGGTAAAGATTTAGCTAAAGTGTTAAGGGATATGAAAAAGAAGCGACAAGAATTTACATAGAAAGAATAGTTTAAACCAAAATCTCCTATTCCTCTATTAAAAAATTAAAATAATAAGACTTAAGAAGATTAATAAATAGAGAAAAGTCCTAGTTATGTGAAAAAATTACCTAAAATATTGAAGAAGTAAACTCCTATAATAATAGAAGTCTTAGAACAATATGAACCTTTAAGTAAATCAAGTAGACTATAAGGAAATGGTATTGGAGAAGATCCTTTTTAAGTAAAGCTTGTGAAATATTATTAATTTTTATTCAAATTCTAATGTAGTCACTTATTTTATGTAAAATAATCATTGGTGAGATGTTAAAGCTATTTTATTGAGGAGATTAATGAAAATGAAAGTATTATCAAAGAATTAATGAGAAAAAGATGGTGGTGGTGTGAATCTATAGAAAAAACAGATGATGTATAATTTTATTGGTCCTAAAGATCTAATTCCTAATTCTTATAAAGATAAAAAATGAGAGTCTTATTTGATTAAAGTTAGAGTAAGGTTGTAGATCCATTTAATTAAGAAAACTATGAAGAATAAATAAAATTTGCAATAGAACATAAACTAGCTATGATTTAACCGAATGGTAGATTACATAATCACATAGAAATTAATTAATTGATTGGATTTAAGAAAAATTTTATAAAATTTTTACAATCATATGCTAAATTATTAAATTAAGATCCATTTCAGAATTATCCTTATTCTATTATTATAACAAGTTAAAAAGATTCTAAGTTGAATTAATTTTTAATAGAACATAAAAATGAAAATTCTTTATGGATAGTAAAGCCTGGAGAATGGGCAAATAATGGATAATTTATGAAGATCTGTTAAAATGGAAGATAGGTTTATGATTTTATAATATCTGAATATAAAAATCAAGATCATAATTTTGAAACTTTAGTAATATAAGAATATATAAAGCCATTATTGTATTATAAAAGGAAATTTGATTTATATACGTATTTGTTAATAAGTTAAATAAATGGAGTTGTGAGAGTTTATTTTTATGATGAGGTATATGGAAGAACTAGTAGTAAAGAATATAATGAAAGTGATTTAGATTTCTTAATACATTTTACAAATAGTTAAATATAAAAGGAATCTAAAGGATTTTAATTTTATGAAGCAGGAAATAAGTTGTCAATAGATAAATTATAAGAGTTTTTCATTTAATTTAAAATAAATTTTAAATAAAATATGATTCCTTAATTAAAAATGATAGCAACTTAAGCTATAAGATCAGTGTTTACAAATTTAGTAGTGAAAGATCATAACTTTGAAGTATTAATAAATAGTTATAAAGATTATAGGTTTGAATTATATCATTGATTAATAATTAAAACCTTGGTTAGTAGAATTGAATTTAAATCCAAGTTTTAGTGCTGATAGTTAATATCATCAAAAAGTAATAACTCAAATGTTAGATAATGCATTGTATTTGACTATAGATTTGATATATCCACCACCATAAGGATGGCCAACAAACAAAAAATAGTTAATAGATAAATTTAGTTTATAAAATAAATTTTAAGTAATAATAGATTCAAGATTTGATTCAGAAATGTTAATAGAATTATTCGAAAAAAAGTGAAACTGATATAAATAATTGTATGTAATTAATATGATTCATTCTAAATATTTGGTATCAATCAAAATCATATAGATTCCAGGATGTTTATTAGCAAAACTAATTAAATCTTTTCTAGCAATCTTAAATATAGTTGCTTTCCTGGTTGCTCTAATAGATGTAGAGATAGTAATATTTTCAATCATAGCTCTTAATTCTCCAACATATGCTCCTGAATCTAATTCTTCTGAATCTTATTCAGGGCAATCATAAAATGCAAATGTTCCTCTTTTAATAATGAAAGCAAATTCTGGTTTTTCACCCACTTTCCATATAACAGTACCTTTTTCGATTTCTTATTCTCTCATAATCATTTCTAATTATGTTTTCTGAGAAGGAGTTAATTCAGATAGAATAGAATTCTTAAAAAGACAATGAACAGCTTTTGATCTTCTAGCTGCAGTTAATTATTTCATTTTTTAAATAATAGGACCTTATCCACCTAAACCATCACCAAAAATAAACCAAAAATCATGCTTTTCTAAAATAAGAACTTTAAGATGTGTAACAGCTTCTACACTATTAATTAATTATATAATAATTACGATGCTCCTCTTTTCCCTTCATTTGATAAAACAGCAGATTCACCAAAATAATCACCTACTTAGTAATATCTTTCAAATTCTTATCCTTTTTAAGTTGAATAAACTCTTGCTAATCCAGATTCAATTATATAAAATCTATCTCCAGTAGTACCTTCTTTTATAACATCTTATCCTGTAAAAAATTCTTCAGATGTTACTGAATCTAAAAGCCATCTTACATTTTTTAAAGTTAAATGTTCAAAAATATCTATAGTTGAAAGTAAATCAAGTCTTCTAATTGTTGTAAGATGTTTATTAGTATTACTTGGTATTAATATCATAGTATTTTCTATTCCAGTTTTTGCTATCTTTAAACCTAATTCTTTTTTTAGATCTTTTTAAGCTGTGTGAACAAGATACAATCTATTTTTAATATTATTTGGTAATTTTCCAAGTATAGATTATGAAGTATGAATAGGAGGTACTCCTGCTTCATGAAGAATTAAATCTTCTTTAAATTCAATAAAGGCTAAATGTTCATATCTCTTTTATGAAAGAATTCCTTAATTTTTATATTCTAATAATTAGTCTGGATCAAAAAATGTATCAGATGAAAAATACATAGATTTATTCTCTAATTTAACACTAAATCCAAGACTTGGAATAGTATGCATAGCATAAAAAAAGTTAAAATAGGCTCCATATATATTTAAAGGAATTCCAATAATAACTGGTCTATGCATATATTAATATATTATACCTAAAAATAAATAGTTTTCTTAGAGAATCTATATCAATACTAGACATTGCTGAATATTTTCTTAGAAAAGAATTCATTATTGTTCTAGTTGTAATTATTTCTACTCTTGTATCATCTAATATTTTATGAAATGTGCCAGCATCATGATCTGCATGACAATGACTAATTATAACTGCACATATTAATATTGATGGTATTCCCATCTATTTCATATGATAAGATGCAAATGGAGGTGGATCAACCATTATTCCTCTTCCATTTACCCAGAATATATAACCTGAAGTTGAACCTTTCGGATCAAATCCATGAGACTAAAATTATAGTTTAATATTTATTAATTACACATCCTAAAATAGTAACACCAAAATCTGGAGGTGTAAATGATTTATTTTCATCAATATCTAATTAAAAAATAGCTGAACCACTTTCAACATGTCCTCCCATCTAATCCCATAAGACAACTGATAATTTCTTCTCTCCTCCTCTTTGATATTTATTACCAATAACCCAATTTTCTACTTTTTATTCAACTGTCATCTCTGGCAATTATTTCACTAATAATGGTGTTGGGCATGATTCTTTTGCTGAATCTCTTTTAGATTTAATATTCTTCACACTTTCAGCTCTATAATCATCTGGTTTTGTTATAATATATTCATAATATTATGAAGGGAATGTAAATACATCTGGTATACTTTTCAGATATATCCCATTTTCTAATATTTTAAATGAATTGCTATCCTTAATTATTCTAATTGTAATATCTCCTTCAGTTATAGTTGCTGTATTATTTTCATCAAATAAATTGAACTTCAATAAATGATCAATTGTTAATTTTTCATCTAAATTTGAAGGATTCCTAGAAAATACACTTCTTTCTTTATGAAAGTCTGGATAAGCACTTTTTGGATATTTATGATAGAAATCAAGAGCCAAATCAGGATGATCAACTGGCCCTAATAAAGTTTCCTAAAAAACAGTTCTTATAGCTCTTTCAGTATCAGATGTACATATTAATGTTATTTACTTTTTTTTACAAAAGAAATTAAAATAAGCTGGAAATTCAAATTCTGCAGTGCTTATTCCTAATCTTTTATCAAATCTAATAATTTCTAATTTTTATACCTTTTTGATGGAATTATATAAAAAGTTGGAACTTCCATTCCCATATTCAAACAGTCTTTAATTGTTTCTGGAGGCATACCATATTAAATTGGACCTATTTTAGTCTAAAGTATGCAACCTACATTAATTATTTAATTTTACCTCCTCTCTCTAAATCAACTAAATCTGCACAAGACACATTAGATTTAACATCTGATTATTACTTTTGTAATTATATTGAACATGATTATTATTTAAGTAAGGAAGGACATTGATCTGATTATTCTAACATAAAATCCAAATCTTATAAGAAAGATTTGTCATCAGAAAATACATATGAACATGCCATCGTATAACAAATAAATTATTATTAAGTAATAAAATTATTAATTCATTTAGAATTAAAAAATGAATCAATCAAAAAAAGTAATCATTTCCATTAATTTAATGCTCTTCGTACATCTGGTTTCGATAAATTAAACTTTACATTTTTCTTACTACTAATACTACTATTTCTGGAATTATTATCAGAAAAAGATGAATCTAAAGTTTATTTCTTCAATATCCCTTTTACACAATTTTATTTTGAACTATAAGATGATGAATTTGATTCTAATACATTATTTCTACTTAAACTTTAAATTGAAACTTTTATATTCTTTTTTTTAGGTTATCTGATTTATGAATCAATTTATAAATCACTAGGCAACCTTTCATAAGTTGCACCTCTTTTCTCAATTTCATTATTTTTCTAATCAATACAATTAAGTTAAGTTGGTCTATGTATATCAGATTTGTGATGATTTTATCTTCTTTTTATTTATCTAAATTTCTATTCTACAGAATCCTTTGTTTTTATTGGTAATTGATTAATCATCTTAAATGAATTAAATTATCGAGAAGGCGATGTTTCATCACAGTTCAAATCTTCTTCGAGTTGTCCTAATGATATAGTTAATTCATTTTTATATTACATTTTATAATTTATATTTAAAGTAGTTTATCAATTCTAAATATCTTCATTTTTATCTCTATCCAATATATCATAATGTCTCTTTACTCTTAATAAATTTATCATATTCGGTACAGATTCTTGTTAATTTTGTCTTACTCCATCTATTAGATCATTCAAACAAATATCTTATAATTATTATAATACACTCTCTGTTGTATCCACATCATCATCTTTATCAAAAACATCTCTTATTTTCTCTGAAAATTCCTTTTGTAATCTAAGTTATTCTTCATCATAAACTACAAATTCATATTATTTATTGCTATTTGGTTTACTAAGTCTTAAAATTTCATATTTTTTCTTGCTACTAAATATTTCATAAGGCATTCTAAATCTTTTCTTCCTTTCTTTATTACCATTTTAAATCATAATTTATATTTATGGATCCACATTTTCTTTATTTATTTAAATATTCTATTTTTGTTCACTTTAACAAACTTTCTAAAATAATTATAATGTTTCTCTCTTATCAGCTGAAGTTTATTCTTTAGAATTCATATTTATTAATATTATAATATTAAAATTGATTCAAATATAAATTTCATTTCATAATTTTTATCAATTTCAAAAAAATTTGTCTAATTCTTTTCAAAATAATAATTACTTTAAAAACAATAATATATACATTAAATTAATAATATTAAAAATCATTTTTAATTACAAGAGCACAACAAATCAAGCTTTTAAACTTTATTAATTTAACTTATTACCTAAATCAGGATTCAATGGTTAAAGTTTAGTACTAAAAGTTGTTGATTTTCTTTATAATATAAATTAATACCTTTAACCCACAAAATCACTCGTTCTTTTTTCTTTTTATTTTATTTCATTTGATTTCTAAGCATTTTATGTATTATTGCTCATAGAACTCTTTTCTTTACATATTTAATTCTCCTATAATAAAGGTTAAAAAGATTAAAATTTTTTGATTTATAATGGCATATAAGATTTTCCATTTGTTAAAATATTCCATGATTCCATTGTCTCTAAATTCTTTTCTAAATTTATCAATTATCTTTATTTTAAAACCTAAATCATATAAATTCTTATTTTTACAAATAAAATCAATTCTGTTATAATTTAGATATAGTAACACAAATCTTTAAAATTTTCGTTGTTCTTAACTCCATTAAAAAAAAACTTTTAGTTTGCATTTTATAAGGATGAAATCAATCCTATTTTAAAAAATATAGTAGATATTAATGATGAAGGAGCCTAATTTAATAAAAGATTTAGAAAACTTAATATATTTTATAATAATTACATGCAAAAATTCCTTTAGAGTATATTATTAGAATGGCTATCAAAAAACCAAATAATTAAAATATGTAGAACGCTTTCATTAAGATATTTTACAATATATTTCTCCATAAAACCTTAATTTGTTTAATAAATTAATTAAAATCCATAATTAAGTGTAGTTAATAACAATGTTTTCTTGAATCTCAAAGTTTCACTATCCAGAACATAAGGGTTTTTATGAATTTCATAAATAATCTAACATAAATACTCGATTGATTTCATAAAGCTATTACATAAGCTCTATGCACACTCGAATAGCTATTTAATTTCAATTACATTTTCAAATACAAAATTTATAAATGCTCCACAATCATCAGATACATTAAATTCATTTTTTTTTGTGTCTAATATATTTAATAAATAAATTTAGAAATATTTATTAAATAATTCTTCATTTAAGAAGGACTTGCAAACAGATGTTACATCTAATCTATTTAAGGTTTATTTAACTTTTTCATTATTTAGTCTTAAAAATTCTATCATAAATTTTGTTGATTCTTAAAGTATTCTTATTCCATCTAGAAAATAGTTATAATTAAAATTTAAATTTTCCAATTACTTTTAGTATTCAGTATTTTTTATTAATGTTTTATAACTTGGATAAATAGTTCGAAGTTTAGAACTAGAAAAACCTTCAAATGTGCAATGATCTTCTGTCTTATGCCTTATATAACTTCGAGTATTAACAAATGGTGATTTTTTTTGATTACTTTAGCTAAATGATTTTGGTTCATCACCTATCTCAAATCTTTATATTTATGTTAGAATCTATAGTCCAGGAGATTCAACCTAATATATTGGAGATTATTAGAATGAATTAGATTATCCAAATTTCTCTAAAATTTTACCTTAACTTCTTTAAATGTTAATATTTGATTAATAATTATTAATTGAAGTATTTGAATCTAATGATTTAGTAAACACAATATTCTTATCTTATAATAAACTACTACTCTTATTAAAATTTATATTAGAATCATTTAAACTAATCATTGATCTTCTTGATTTAAGATTTTTTTAATCTTAGTAATATTATTTAAGAAATGAATTATTATTTCTTTCTTAATTAAATTATTTTAAATTATCTACATCTGAAGCAATTATTTAATATATTGTAATATTTTCATTAACTTCTAAATTTAATTACCAATTTTATTGATTAGTAGTGTAAAATAAATCTGGAGACTTACCAGCCTAAAGAGATCCTAAAAGATTGGTTAACTTAACTTTATCTTCAGAATTTACACTAATTGGTTAAATTTATTTTGATTCATATTATACAAGTGCTTTAAGAGTTGATAAAATAGTAATAGTCACTTCACTTTTGGAACTTTAATCTATTCTAGTTAGCTAATTATCTTTGGAAATCATTTTGCCAATAAATTTGAACCAATGAATTTTAGATAAGTATTTCCAAATCTATTCTTAAAAAAAGGATCCTAATTAATATTTATCAATTTTTAAATTAATTATATCTAAATATGAATTTAATTTAATACTTTCTAATATTGATGATATCATTGGATTATAAATGTATTAAGTTAAAGAAAAAAAGAGATTTAAATCAATAATTTAAACTACACCTAATTTAGGTTCTCTTTATAATGTTTTATCAATCAATTCTCCTATATGATAGAGATTAGCATTAGAACTAGAATCATTAAAACACTCATAAACTCCATTAACTAAGAATTTCAATGTTATAATTACATATTTAAATAACATTTTGTGGGATGACTTAATTTAAAAAAGACACGTTTTCTTCCTTTGTTAATATCTAAAGAGCCTTATAGGATCTAATAGTTTCTTAAACACTCAAATTTCTTAAGTTAAATTTATAATATGTATTATCTGTTACTTATGAAGATTCTATTATATACTTATCCTAAAAAAAAGTAAAGAATCATATTTACCCAAAATTTAAATGTATCACACTTTTATGGTTGAGTTACATATTTTATAAGTTCTTCTAAATATTCTGATTGGTTTGAGATATTATTTAATTCTTAAATATCATTTAATTCTTAAATATGATAGGTTTCTGTTTCGGTTAGCCATTTTTAAATTATATAACTTATTGATTCTTCTTAACTCTCTTCGCTATTATTATCAAATTCTTGATCAATCAAGTAAAAACCAACTTTCGTTATTTTATCCGGATTATTTTCTGAGTTATGGTTTGGCATATGGATATGATTTTACATGAAATCTCATATATCTATAATTATTGATACATTAATCAATTTCTTCATAATAGGCTGTTACCCATTCTTTATTTCCAAAAATTTCCTTTTTACATTCATTAAAAATTGATATTATTTTTAATCGAAATTCTTAATCTTGAGTACTTTTTATAAAAATTTAAAAAATTCTTGCTAATTTTTCTATATCCATTTTTAAATCATTTGCCAATAAAAAAAACTATTTCAAATATTGGGTACAAAACTTTTTAGCCTCAATAAGTTTTCTAATTACTGACTTTGAAAATTGTGCATTTTGTGAACCTTTGCGTAAATCTGTCATTGAATTATAACTTGTATAATATATATAACTTACATATAAGAAATTTTAGACAAAGATCTCTAACTTAGAAAAGTTCTTTGTTCTTATAGTTATGCAATTTCTTAAGCAGCTTAATGAAAGGCATTCACAAATTATCGATTTTAAAATCTATCAAATAATATTGAAACTAATAGCTCCACGCTTCTTTATTGAAATGGATAGGAACAAATCACTTATATATACTTGTGAGATTGTACATAATTTTAATGATTATATGTCATTAAAGGTTTAAAGAGTAGAAATTCGATGAGTCAATTCTTTTATTCCAAAAGACAATTTTTATAATCTTTTGTATTCATCATCCTCGTTTAACTAATATTTACATCACAAATTACCGCTTATTCAAAGAACATAAGGTTGTGACTAATTTGTAATTAAATATAATAATTCTTATACAATAAGTCTATCTATTTAATCAATTAATAATAATGCAGGTTTTCTAATATTCATTTAAAATTATTAAAAGAAAGTCGATTGAATATCTTTTTAGGGTAATTCTCTTAAAACTAAACAATATTTTTAAATATATTAAATTGACATTATGAGACTTCTAAAAATTAGACATGCTTTCCTAATATTCAACATGCTATTTAAATAAATAAAAATAAAATACTATTCTCCAAACAAATGAAAATATATGGAACTAATAAGAAAAAAATTATTTGATGACGAAATAAGAATTAACTAAAAGGTAATATTAATATTTAAAATTCTAAAGAAAATATAAATATTTTTTATGTAATATCAAAATTTGATAGACAAAAAAGTGTTTAAAACTTTTTTTGATTAAGAGAAATTATTTTGAAATATATTAAATTTATAAATTTTTGATAATAAAATTAATATAAAAATATTATACATAGAATAAAGTGTTGTAAGATGTTTTATTGATAATATATATAAAAGTTAAAAGTAAATTAGAGAAGGATGCATAAAAAATGATATGAAAGTATTTTAATTAATGATAATAAAGTAAGTATAAAAATTAATAAATTAATATATTCGTTTTTTAGAATGGCTAACACTTGCCTATATTCACTAATAAACTCATCAGATGACACTTGTCAATATGCAAAGGATAATTGTAATGATCAAACAATATTCCCATTTACACATTATTATTTTTGCTAACTTGATCAAAATTGGGTGATATTAATCTTAATAGCTGTATGAGAATTGAATTAATATTTAAATAGCCATTCTTGTTTTTTATTTTATTTAACTTTTTAGCAAGGACAGTTGATGACTATTTATCACCTGCAGTGACATTTATAGCTGAATATTTCAAAATGTCATAAACATTTGCAGGGTAATTACTAAATATTTATGAAGTGTAACATTAATAGCTTTTGCAAATGGTGTGCCAGATTTTTTATGTGCAGTTTTAGCTTCATAAGATGATGATGGTATTTTGATTGCTGTAGGAAGTATTTTTGGAAGTGGTCTATTTATGACAACAATAATAGTAGGAGCAGTCATTTTATTATCAGGAATTGTGAAAGTAAAGATTTAACATATAAATATTAAGGCAGAAAAAGTACCTTTTATGAGAGATATTGTATTTAATGGAGTTGCTATAGTATTATTGATGATTTTTGCATTTATTGGTTAAATTAATCATTACATGGCAATAGGGTTTTGTTCATTATATATAATCTATATAGTTGTTGTTTTAGTGAATGAAAATAGTATAAAGAAAAGTAATAAAACAAAATAATTATAGAGGAAAGATAAGATGAAATTAATTCATAGGAAGAAAGAAAAGAATAAGAAGAAAAATAATTGTTAGCATAAAAAGAATAAGGAGAAGAAGGAAATTAAGCTATATAAAATGCTGATGAAGAATTGAAAAAAGAATTAGCAGAATCTATTCCTGAATCTTTTAAGAAATCTTTTGGAGAAATGTCTTTAGTCTCAAAACTTAAATATGTTTATATTACATCATTGGAGTTTGTTCGAAAAATTACTATTCCTGCAAGTAATTAAGAAAAATATGATAAAAAATATGCTGCTATACATTAAATTGTATGTCCAATTGCAATGATAGCATTATTAGGATGTAATAAATGTAGATGATATATTTTAATAGCATTTTCAATGGAAATTTATGATATTAAAGTATGGATAATTTTAGAAGTAATTGGATTGTTTCTATTTATCTATTAAATAATATTTGAAATTCCTATAATTATATTATCAATGGAATGTGTTGTATGCTCAATTATTTGGTGTAAATAGGTTATTTAAGTTTTAATTGATTTTATTTTGGTAATAATAAATTAATTTATTTAGTTAATATAAACAATTACTGGAGTAAGTTATTCTTATTTAGGAATGACATTTTTAGCATTTGGAAATTCTACTTGTGATTTCTTAGTAAATACTAAATTAGCATCAATTGGTTATGGATTGATGGCTATGACAGGATGTTTTTCAGGAACTATTTTTAATATGTTATGTGGATTTGGTGGAGCATTGGTTAGATTGACTGCTATTGAAAAATATCCAGGAATTGTTTCTTTTGATTTATTTAGAGATCCTAAAAGTGATTCATAAACTGATATTGTACATTACAAATTAATCATAGATTATCACAAGAATGAATAATTCTATTGCTTATTGTGTCATCATCTTTTCGTTAATGAATATCATAATGACATGCATTGTTGTAATTACTAAAAAGTATTCATTTATCATCTATTTCTAGATTCAAACTCACTAAAAATTTAGCTTATTATTATTTCTTTATTTATTCAGTGTTTTTCATTTTCATTACAACATTAACAGTTGCATTAAGTTCCATAGTCAGCTATTTATCAGAACAATGATATTAATCATTATAAATTTATATACAAAAATATTTTTACTTCTATAAGATTTATGGGATTTTGTATTTGACCATATATCTCTAATAACAAACAGAAACCTAGATATAATTATTTAAATGTTTCTTTAATTTTCTTTAATATTCTTAATTTGGCAGTTATATAGAATAAATATCCAGTTTATTAATTTGTTTTTTTTATTGCGTAA